GGACAGGAAAGTTATTTCTTGTACCTCATAAATCATGATAGAGGAAGAAATATCTAGTCCACCTCTGGATAAAACTGTCACAGCTAAATCCTGTGCCTGGGAAATCTGATAGTTTGCCTTTCTGTTACATTTTCCACCTAACTCTTTTATGGGATACATGTCAAGGGGTCTGCAGTGACATTTCTCTTTAATTATTAACTCTCCCTGTTTTAATTTTCATATTAGAACATCCTTGCCAGACCAAGAGCCAGGTACTGATCTTCTCAATGCCAGGCCTCATGTATACAAATAATTTATTATCATAATTCAGAGATGTTTCTCATCTTGTCATGGAATATTTTAGGTGCCAAGTAGCCCAAAGCCTACCAGGATTGCCTATTTATTTTCAACAATTTATTTTTGGCCTATTTATTTACAAAAGAGAAATTAAACAACAGCAATTTAAATTTATACTAAGCACACATGCTAAGTTTTGATATGTTTATGTTTATGTTTGGAAGCAATGAAATGTCATGGGAAGAGTAAAGGGAACGTGAGTCAGGGGCCTGAGTTTCATCCGGGTCTATATCCTACCAGCTCTGAAAACTTAAGACAAGTGAAACCTGATTTTCAATTTCCTCATTTATAAAGTGGCTGTAATTATAGCAACATCATCTCATAGTAATATTGAGAGATTTGAAGGAAATGAAAAATGTGAATATGCTACATAAACTTCTAAAAAGTACCTGAGGCATGTGAGTCAGTGTTAACTACCCCACACTACAACACAGCCATTCTTGACCTTATTTTTGCTGCACCACTAAGATGGGTGATGTTCACACATATATAAAACACTCCACTGCTCAGGCTTCAAGATTAGGCAGAAATGCATGAGAATCCTTTCTCTGCCATTAATTTAACTTCTCCAAGTTTTAATTTCCTATGTAAAGCTTGGAGAAAATAATAATACTGAATTCAAAAGTTTAGGTTAGAAATAAAGGAAATAATGTATGCAAAACCTAATATTACTACTGGAATGTAGTAATGACCAATAGATATTTTATTATTACCTTAATTCCAAACACGCTGTCTGTAACTCTACCCGTTCTCTCCTACTCACAAATAGATAACTAAATACATAAAAAGAAAGAAAGAAAAGTGGGAGCAGCAATTTTTTTTATAAACCATTGAAGCCACCCTGATTTAGTCTTCATGGGGTTAGTCCCAAATGTAGTACTTTATTCTTTAAAAATATTACTTTCAATGTGCCAATTGGTCAACTTTTATACACCAATTTTATACACTATGAGCAGTAACTGGTCCCCGAGTTTTAAGTTCCTGATGAGGACAAAACTGTGGAATTATCAAAATGTGCCCTAAAGTTTATCTGCAGACTATATCGATTTGTAGTACTAAGTGAGGGTTCACCACATTTTACATGGTCAAATATTAAAATATGGAAAAGTTTGGAAATAATACCTTTCAGAGAATTTCCTAATGACTAGCAAGATAACCAATTAATTTACATCATCAAAATCTTAACACAGCTGTAGGCAAGGGAAATACTTCAGCAGTATTGCTTGATGATGGTTTGATGGAACAATGCTAGGTGAGAACAAAATTGAGAACTTGAAAATTAAAGGTGATGGATTCTGACCTATATGTCTTTTCTGGTAAGCATTATGCTCCTTTTAAATTCTGAAATCTTGATTGAAACAGTCTCCACTAAGATTCTCCTGGTTAGAATTATGATTATGTTGTCAGGGTGCTGCTAATAGATCTTACTTGGCTGAATATCATTTTCATGATAGTGAGACAGGGACCATGGGCTTAGACAGAGTAGGGTGAGGGCCTCTGGGAAAAAACAAAGCAAGATAACCATTGAGAGATTTGCTTTGGCCTGCTGGGGGGCCCAGCTTATTTTTCTAACTTTACCCAAGTGCTGCTTTTCTTCCTCCAGCCCTAAACAAATGATTTGTTGCAACTTGGACAATGTAGCAAGTAAGCCCAAAACAGCATAGTAAAAACAGGAAGGATTCCATCTTAAAACCCAATTAAGTAAAAAGTAAGACAATAACTCTGCCCACTTTGGGAGCAAAGCAGCAAGCCTTGAGTGCTACCCTCCCAGACCAGGAAACTGCTATCCTGTGAGGAAATCAGAGCAGTAAAGTTCTTGCAAATAACCAGGACGACTAATAAGAAACTTAGTGTTTCTTCAAAAGTATCTGGGACCACTTAGCAGGTGCACATCCCTAGCCCTTTGTCTCTCTCAACTGCCTGTAAAAACCTAGACAAAGCACCACCCTGGGGCTCTCTTGTCCCCTCCCGGCCTAAGCCAGGAGCTCTGTCTTCTCGCTTTCTCTGTAAATAAAAGCCTCTGCCTTGGTCTCCTACCTTGACTGTTCGCGAAGTTAATTCTTCAGCTCTGTGAACAAGAACCCCGGCATAAATAGGAGATTATGTTACATACCAGATAGGCAGAAGCCAGTCTGAAGAAGCCATACATGATTGCAAAGGAAGGTGTATATTACTACATCTACACGTTTGTTTAAATGCAGTTAAAAGTAAAAGAGGAAAATATTATAGGAGACTTGTTGTATATGCCAAAATAACTAGTTGATTAATTTTTTTCTTTCTCATTTTCAGATAAATTTCTGTATGTCACTGAGTGAGATTCAAAACAATCAATCTCTGTCTTGGATGAATAGAATATATATACATATATAGGAAAGTTTATTTCAATTTGAAATTTCACATCAATTTTAAATTGAACTTGAAATTATATGTTTATATGAATTTTAAATTTCCTGGAGTTCCTGGGACTGCACAAGTAATAAGATCAGCCCAAGAGAAGCTAAAGGAGAGTATGTGGGAAAGAAAAAGAACAGATGGACAAAGCTGAGTCAAAGACTAGTGTAAGTTACATGAACTCCCTCTTACTTACAGTGAATTTCTGATGCCTACCCCAGCTGTTGCTCTCAACAGTCAAAACTTTGGAGTGGTGGCCAGAATTATATTGTATTCTGAATCAAAAGAACCACACTCTATCCATCTCAGTCAAAAACTTTTCATTTTGTAAAATAACAGCTGATTGAAAATGTCACCAAAACATAACTTTCCTACCATCAGCCCACTTGACACAGAGATTATCTCATTTAAGCCACACTATAATTTTGTGAGGTCGGGATTAATATTATCCTCATCTTACACATAAAGAAGCCAAAGAATACTGAACAAAGTGCTTACAGTTATACATCTTATAAGCTTCAGAGATGAGATCTGAACCCAGAGTAGCTCATGAGCACACTTGTGCTATTAGTCCCTAAATCTATACTTCTTCCAAGAAGAAAGTGTTTAACAATAGGCTTCTTGGCAGTTATAGACATATTAGTGTCACAACTGCCTGAGAAAGGCTTGGAACTCTTTGGAATTACATTCATAGTTCTTAACCCACTAATGGCTATTTTTTAAAAATTTTGGGTAACAGCAATACTGAAGGATACTTTTACATTGTGTATGATGGTGGGAGTCGGAGAAGGGATGCTAGACATCTTTCAGTGCATGAGACAGTCCTACCTAAAGAACTGTCTTGCATCCAAGAAACTTTTTAATGACATGACATTCATATACATAAAAAAGATGTTTAAAATTATTTCAGCCTAGGTTTCATGAAAACAAGGTTTCTGTATGTTTTTAAATAAAATGAATTTTTAGAAATGCATCTACTGTGTTGTTCTTTATTTTGCTTTATTTGAACCTTTACAAATCCTATTCATTAGTTTGAAAATCATATTTTTGATGAGTGTTGAATCACAGTTTTGAACATTTCTACCAATCTGCATGTGTATCTGTTATATTAGTGGTGATCCTATATATTGATGCATATTATTTTACTATAAATTGCTTTCTCTTAATCCTCATTTACATACAGTTAAGACATTATGTTGATTAAATCATGTGAGTTGGAAAGTTATATTGTCAATGTATTTCATTCAGGATCCAGGGCAGCATTATAAGTATTCCTTTTAAAAGGAATTGAGAGTCTGACAGGATTGAGAATGATTATTCTAGAAGATGGGATTGTTAGAAGAGTTGAATTTCAAGAAGACATCAAAAAGAAGAATAAGGACTTAGTAGATTGCCACAAAAAGTTCATCGATTTGAACTTAATCAAAAAATTTAAACATTAAGAAATGGAGTCAGGGAATACACAGAATACATATTTGACAGTTTGGGCAGTAAAAGGAAGGAGATAAACAGAATTGTTTTAGTATATAACAGGATCAAATGAAGTATTATCAGGTAGTGTGAATTTGTATATCCTTGAAGGAAAAGGGGAAGCTATCCATGGAAAATGAGGAAGGAAAAATGAAAAAGAAAACAGAAAAAGTGCCAGATAATCATGAGAACAAGGTTCATCCTGAACGAAAGGTGATGGGAGAAGTTCTTCAGTTTGAAGATTTAGCTTTGAGCTGATAAGCAGGGCAGGCTACCCATGTACAGACAGAAAAGATGGCCTGCTTACATGGAGTTGTATGATTTGAAGGCTGTTGCCCCCAAAATTCCTTAGACATTTTCAATGGTGCCTGACATTCCATAGTTATAAATGTTTTCCTTTGCATGTGGATTCGTTACTCTATTTAAAATAATTTAAAACTCACATACTGACAGAAATAACATAGTGAGCTTTTTTACAATTTGAGATTTTTACAATTGCATGTTTCTTAGGCTCTTGTCTGAGTTCAGATTTTGATTGAGGCATCAAAATACAAAATCCCTGTACAGACCTGGGATTTCTGAGACAGAATGGGGGAAACCTTGAGGACTAAGGACATGAGCCCCCACACCAACTCTCAGGAACCCTACCATTTAGTGTAGGAAAGCCAGCAAAGGGTAGCTCCTGTGGCACTGAGCAGGTCAGGAAGGGCCTACAGAGTGGGGAGTTAGAAGATATCATTGAGCTGACAGTAAGGTATAGCATGTCAGTTGATGTCAATGTTCTCATTAATGAGATCACTTACCAATTGCATTGAGGACTTGAAAAGAGACAATGGCTGGCATGGCTCCTGAGAGTCTCAGAGAGAGATGACTAGCACCGTCGGGGAGCGGATGTGACCGCTCAGTTATAATCGGAGACCCTGATATTGCAGATGACCAGACCTGCATGTGTCTTCATTTTCCTTGAAGTTTCCCCTTTAAAGCAAAAAGAAAAGCAGATAGTAGGGGTGTGATAGATGTGGCAAATGCAACACAAGTTTGGTAGGTCTTAGGGGTCAAAGTTGAAGATCAGCATGGAGGTGAGCAAGGAGTGGAGGTTGTCAGAAAAAACCCTGGGCTGGACTTCACAAGACAAATGGTGGCCTCATGTCTACAAAGAATAACTTGTTTGACCTTACAGAGGCCACCACATAGATTTTTTTTCTAGAATTAAAGTTTTATTTCTGATTTGACTGTAACACTCTGTCCATGGAAGGAAATCTGAATACCAAGAAAGCAACTAATGATTCCGTTGAAACAAACAGATAAGGGCCTGGAAGGCAGAGTGAGGCCAGTCGGAGAATTCACTTAGAAAGGGGGAAGGGGAGACGCCAAGCTAACTGCTCCCTCAGAGCAGCTCCTCACCTTCCATCTTCTGCCAAGGAAGTTGGGGATGTGGTTAAGAGTTTGTGACTTAACTGTGTTTAAATTCCCGCTCTGACTCTTATTAACTGTGTGACTCTGGGCAACTTACTTGTCTCTCTGGGCTTCAGTTTCCTTGCCTATTAAATGGGGATGAAAATAATACAACTATAAACACACTCAATGTTGCATGATGTGGCACATGTAAGATATCTGATAGGGCTTAGTACTCCAAAAATAATTGTTCCCTTTCTCTATTGTATTTTCAAAAGCATTTTAGGTCAGAATTCACTTTTCTGAATTCCTATAGCACTTTGTGTTCATGCTTCCTTATTTAGTCATTAGCCACAAATGATACATTGCCTTTGTTAATGACAGAAATGTGTGTATGTCTGTGCATCTTTGTGTCTGTCTGTCCATCTTATTCCCTTAATCCGACGGCAAGCTTTTGGAGACTAAGAACATATGTGTTAGATTTCTTGTGTATCCCTTTCAGCTTCTAGAATATACTGTAGCATTCAGTAAATACTTTTTAAATAAATGAGGTCGTAAGTCCTAGACAGCAAACTTCTCTGCACTCCATATCATTTACACAGCTTAGGAAGAGGCAGGTTTGGAATAATTTCTCTAGGGTTTGGGTGTTTTTGTTTGTTTCCAGTTGGTCTGTGACTATACATAGATTCAATCACAATGAAGCTGACAAAGGAGAGATGACATTTTGGAAACAGAAAAGGAATTTTTATAGCCCAACATTTGTCACCTCCCTGGCTGATGGCAGCACACGTTTCGTTCGTTCCCTTTGGCTAAATTTGGATCAAATGCTGGCTGAGTACACTAAGCAAGCCAGAACTGCATTGTACCTCTATTTTGTGACATATGAGCTCCCTGCTTTAATCTCCCCTTCTACTGTATAAAAGAAGATCTGAGGCTGTTCGACTTCAATCCGGTGATTCATGCAACTGGCACACAATAGATTCCACCTCTCTCCTCACTGCTGCACAATATCAAGCTAAACAAAATGTCTTAGAAAGCTTCAGTACATGTAGTTAGCCTGTCACAGATCCCCCTTACACACACACACACACACACACACTCTCTCTCTCTCTCTCTCCTTTTTTCTTCTACTGAGCAAAAGAGTCTGAATGCCCAGCACCTGCCTTTTTACTGACATTTCCACAAAGGTAAAGGAATGAACCTTTTGTCAATTTCATCCAAACGATCTGTTTTGAAACAATGAGATGAAAAGCCTGGGCCCCTCTCCTGGCTACTGGATTACAGTGCAGAGGCTTAAAATAAAGGACACTTGATTTTATTGATTTAATGAGGGGTGGAGGCTTTTGCTGGTGCATCCCTCGTGGCAAAAGAACAAGTCTTGTCGGCAGATACCTCCACTGAGGCACTTCTCTTCCATTTGTTTGGTTTTGCAGTGGCGCTCATTTATGGGTTTGGCTGTTAAGATGACCCACAGTGTTCCCTCCTGTGCTGCGTGAAGCAGTCAAATGCCTGCGGTGATTTTGGTGTTGTGTCTGTAGACAGGGAGACGTGGAGGTGGGAGCGGCATGACTGCAGGATAAAGAGCTGCAGGAAGAGGTGACAGGGAAAGCACATTTGAAAAAAGAAGAGTCAAATAAAACAGACTGGAAACGAAATTGCACTTCTAGCTGCAAAAGAGATTGTGTGCAAAACCTATTATTTCTCAGCAGAGCCGATTTCAACTAGTTTGCTAAACCTCCTCTCCATCCACACCATTTGCATCCCACCCCCATCTCTTCCCACCCCCTCCATTACCCAAGTTTGAATAGTGAGGAGACTAAGGGGGTTCACTCACGACATTTTATTGTGGCTGGGTCCAGGCACAGTCAGATAATCTTTTTGCTTTTGTTCTCCTCTTCTTTGGGGCTTCTTTTGATATTATTATTAACATGTTCATATGGAAATTTTTGCATTATGTATTTCTCCTTTTATATTTGCCCTATTTTTTCCTTACAGTCTGACTTCATTGTCCACTGCACCGTGTGAAAGGGACATGGGCCAGTCACCTGCTGACCAAATTTAAGCAGTGATCTACTTTTAATACCAAAATAGACTGTGTGTTTGTTAATAGACATGTGTATAGCCAGGATTCCTGTTAATATAAGCATATGCCTCTATATCCTGTGCACATTTATTTCAATGTATTTATACAGTCCACCCATAGATTAAACACCCCCAATTCCCTCTGGTGTTACTGTCTCCCTGATTGTCATCCTGAACGAAAGGTGATGGGAGAAGTTCTTCAGTTTGAAGATTTAGCTTTGAGCTGATAAGCAGGGCAGGCTACCCATGTACAGACAGAAAAGATGGCCTGCTTACATGGAGTTGTGTGATTTGAAGGCTGTTGCCCCCAAAATTCCTTAGACATTTTCAATGGTGCCTGACATTCCATAGTTATAAATGTTTTCCTTTGCATGTGGATTCGTTACTCTATTTAAAATAATTTAAAACTCACATACTGACAGAAATAACATAGTGAGCTTTTTTACAATTTGAGATTTTTACAATTGCATGTTTCTTAGGCTCTTGTCTGAGTTCAGATTTTGATTGAGGCATGTAGCAGTGCTGTACAGACCTGGGATTTCTGAGACAGAATGGGGGAAACCTTGAGGACTAAGGACATGAGCCCCCACACCAACTCTCAGGAACCCTACCATTTAGTGTAGGAAAGCCAGCAAAGGGTAGCTCCTGTGGCACTGAGCAGGTCAGGAAGGGCCTACAGAGTGGGGAGTTAGAAGATATCATTGAGCTGACAGTAAGGTATAGCATGTCAGTTGATGTCAATGTTCTCATTAATGAGATCACTTACCAATTGCATTGAGGACTTGAAAAGAGACAATGGCTGGCATGGCTCCTGAGAGTCTCAGAGAGAGATGACTAGCACCGTCGGGGAGCGGATGTGACCGCTCAGTTATAATCGGAGACCCTGATATTGCAGATGACCAGACCTGCATGTGTCTTCATTTTCCTTGAAGTTTCCCCTTTAAAGCAAAAAGAAAAGCAGATAGTAGGGGTGTGATAGATGTGGCAAATGCAACACAAGTTTGGTAGGTCTTAGGGGTCAAAGTTGAAGATCAGCATGGAGGTGAGCAAGGAGTGGAGGTTGTCAGAAAAAACCCTGGGCTGGACTTCACAAGACAAATGGTGGCCTCATGTCTACAAAGAATAACTTGTTTGACCTTACAGAGGCCACCACATAGATTTTTTTTCTAGAATTAAAGTTTTATTTCTGATTTGACTGTAACACTCTGTCCATGGAAGGAAATCTGAATACCAAGAAAGCAACTAATGATTCCGTTGAAACAAACAGATAAGGGCCTGGAAGGCAGAGTGAGGCCAGTCGGAGAATTCACTTAGAAAGGGGGAAGGGGAGACGCCAAGCTAACTGCTCCCTCAGAGCAGCTCCTCACCTTCCATCTTCTGCCAAGGAAGTTGGGGATGTGGTTAAGAGTTTGTGACTTAACTGTGTTTAAATTCCCGCTCTGACTCTTATTAACTGTGTGACTCTGGGCAACTTACTTGTCTCTCTGGGCTTCAGTTTCCTTGCCTATTAAATGGGGATGAAAATAATACAACTATAAACACACTCAATGTTGCATGATGTGGCACATGTAAGATATCTGATAGGGCTTAGTACTCCAAAAATAATTGTTCCCTTTCTCTATTGTATTTTCAAAAGCATTTTAGGTCAGAATTCACTTTTCTGAATTCCTATAGCACTTTGTGTTCATGCTTCCTTATTTAGTCATTAGCCACAAATGATACATTGCCTTTGTTAATGACAGAAATGTGTGTATGTCTGTGCATCTTTGTGTCTGTCTGTCCATCTTATTCCCTTAATCCGACGGCAAGCTTTTGGAGACTAAGAACATATGTGTTAGATTTCTTGTGTATCCCTTTCAGCTTCTAGAATATACTGTAGCATTCAGTAAATACTTTTTAAATAAATGAGGTCGTAAGTCCTAGACAGCAAACTTCTCTGCACTCCATATCATTTACACAGCTTAGGAAGAGGCAGGTTTGGAATAATTTCTCTAGGGTTTGGGTGTTTTTGTTTGTTTCCAGTTGGTCTGTGACTATACATAGATTCAATCACAATGAAGCTGACAAAGGAGAGATGACATTTTGGAAACAGAAAAGGAATTTTTATAGCCCAACATTTGTCACCTCCCTGGCTGATGGCAGCACACGTTTCGTTCGTTCCCTTTGGCTAAATTTGGATCAAATGCTGGCTGAGTACACTAAGCAAGCCAGAACTGCATTGTACCTCTATTTTGTGACATATGAGCTCCCTGCTTTAATCTCCCCTTCTACTGTATAAAAGAAGATCTGAGGCTGTTCGACTTCAATCCGGTGATTCATGCAACTGGCACACAATAGATTCCACCTCTCTCCTCACTGCTGCACAATATCAAGCTAAACAAAATGTCTTAGAAAGCTTCAGTACATGTAGTTAGCCTGTCACAGATCCCCCTTACACACACACACACACACACACACTCTCTCTCTCTCTCTCTCCTTTTTTCTTCTACTGAGC